AAATATGGGATCTTCTTAGACTGCATCAGAATAGATCTTTCTATTCACCATTGTCAAAACATTTTCAACTTTTGGTGCATCAGTTCCAAATCATGACAATAGGACTCTGCTATCATGGCCTAAATAGGTTGCAGAAAACTCTAGCGGATTATGTTAAGTCAGATGCAAGTTTGTCTCTCTAAAGAAAGCCATACAGAAACGGATTATTCTCAATAATAAGCACATGATCAAAAATGGGTCTCTTCATTTTTTTTTTCTCCAAATGAATAAACAAATTCCAGTAAATATCAAACCATTCTAGTTTCTGGTCATTAGTCAAATCTGGGAGCAATACACTTTTGCATTTTCTTCACTCATTTGTACCAGATATTTTCCAATTCCTCAGCTTTGTTCCCCACACCAAAGTGTTTATTTCTAAATGAGCCTATATGGCTGCTCTTAATTCTACATTGTTGAGTGATGACTGACAACTATGACCAGGCTTACTTTGGTGATTCAGATGACCAAAAGCAAATTTTTGTAACCATTGAAAAAACTGACTCTAGTCTCTAAGTATAGTTGATATTGAAGATGGGTTCACCAACGCATTGAAATGTAGTAATACAAAAAATCATGTTTATTTATCTTTGCTTCAATTATGTCCAATTTATAAAAATAAAGCAAAAGGAAAGTTTAAACAATATAAACAAAAGGAAATGGAGAGCTTTAAAATGATATACAGATCTACACTTACACAGAAAGGGATGATGCAAAAAAACTGATGGTACTAATACAAAAGAAAAACAACCACCTATTTTGTTCCATCACTCTGTAAAGGCACAGTAAAACTTCATATTCTTAGCTGAATATATTTCTGGGCTAATTTATAAGTATGGCTGATTGTCCATTCACATCTCAGTTTCAGATTTCTAACAGGCACCTTTCAAGTTGTCCTCCAATATGTTACAATCCTCTCTTTTTCATGATACCAAGCACTCTGTTCACTTATCAGAAAAACACCTTCAAAGTATGATTTCTATTTCTAAGTTTTAGTGATAATATTTGTTTTGAAAACCTCATTTTGATGTCTCCAAAGAAATTTCTTCTGCTCCAAAAGTTTTACTTTTGTCTCATCTGGCTATAATATATTCTCTCAGTGAGAAAGGCTTACTAATATGTTTATTTGCAAATGATTTAAATAAGATTTGCATGTTCATAGACCTGCTGTATCTAAAGCACTAGTAATGGTATTTCTTGGTATAGCATTGTTACGACATACTCTATGGCATATGCTGGTGTTTAGGTGGACTACAGTTGTCAATTCAGAGTGGACTGTCCCAAATGACCAAGACAAAAACCTCACTAAAAAAAAAGTTGGAGGAAGGATCTCCTCTTCTTAACTGGAAATCTTACCACCTTGCTCATCCTGATTAGTCAAAGTAAAGACTTCACCACATACTGTTCCTTTTACCCTTTTTTTCTTGCAGGACCTGTAACCATCAACTGGCCCTGTTAACATATATGGTATTTCAGAAATGATATATTTCCAATAACCTGTGTGGTTATTTATTAGTTATGTGATGTTCTCTTTTTTCCCAACCTTAACCTTAAATTATTCTACATGCACAATGTTACATTGTTACTTTCACTCCAGCAGCTTCCAAATTATTCCTGAGATTCTTACTTGTATGTAATATTTGGCTTAATTTCAACAGTTCTTAGGTTATTTTCTGCTCTGACTACCTGTTTCTTCTTCTTACCACATTGTTATATTTACAACAGTGTTTTCTTTCTTGAACATTACTCTTTCATGCAGTTGATTTAGGTATAGTAAATTGTTTAGAAATTAAATCCTCTTCACTGTCTGATTTTTAGACCTGAATAATCTTATTTATACATGGAAAAAAATTATGATTTTCCTGTTTATACTTCTCTTGTGCTATTAATTTTAGATATACCATTTTTTAATGTTATTGTAAATATACATTATAGAAAGTTATTCTATGTACCAGGGCTGTGGAGCCAGAACACAAAACCTTCAACTCTGACGACTATTTTTGGACCTTCTGACTTCAGTTACTCTTTATGTGATTATGGCCTACAAATCTCATAAAGCCTATGCATATGCTCCTAATTTAAGTAGGTCTATATCACTATAAATGGTTTATATCAAAGAATAAAGATATTGTGGCTTTTATATCATACCTATTCATTCATCAATATTTTCTAATAGAATTAGAGACAAAATCTTTGAAATGATATAGAAGAAATAAAAATAAAAATGTTATAATGAAAGACTTTACACACACACACACACACATATATATGCAAATAAGAAATAAATACAGAACAAAAATAAAACTACTTTATAACAGAAGTTGAAATATAATCTTTTACAGAACGTAAAAGACATAACAAAAATAAAAATTTTATAATGTAAGATTTTTTAATTATATAGTTTTGCAAATACAAAATAGCTACAAAAAATAAAATGACTTAAAAAATTAGTTGAAATGAATTTCTTTAAAGGAAATAGTAATTATACAGTAGAAGAAATAAAAATTCTATAATGTAAGACTTTTTGCATAAAGTGTAAATTCAACTGGAGTTTGAGTCCGTTTTACAGACTACAACTCCAGTGACCCATTAATTGCTTTCAAATCGATGACTCAGACTCCACAGCCCTGCTATATACATCATACACCTAACACATTAAAAATGCTCCCAACTAACTGGAAGCCTCAACAACAACATTATTTTCAATTTTATCTTCTATAAACTAAAGGAATAATTTGTCAGCAGTGTATGTATGTATGTATGTGTGTGTGTATATATATATATATTTATTTAAAAATATGATTCCAAATCGCTACATAAGAGGTCTCATGTTTCAAAACAAGAGCCGAAAACTTCAATATAATCCTTTAAATTAAATTGAGTTTAAATTAAAATGGGCTCCGTTCCATCTTCAAGCAAAATTTTTGTTGGAATAACGTATATCTGAAATTTACTTGTTTTAAAAATTGAAATCAAAATCTCCATGGTAACAGCAAGGGCGAATTGTTTAAATTGGGTAGGCGAGTGTAGGGTGTTAATAATAAGTAGCGGTATAGAGATACTTTCAAGATGTCAAGTCGGGGAAAGGTGGGGGTGTCTAAAATGAAATGGAAGATGTATTAACCTTCGTCTGGTTTGTTTGTCTATGGAGATTTATTTATTTATTTTATTTTATTATGAAAGGGAATTGTGCATATGAAAAAAAAAAAAAATTTCGTAACGTTTGTTTTTTGACGACTTATAAAGGGTTATCTATTATGTAAGGTATTTAAACTACTTATTTGGGCTATGGATTATGAAGGGTGTTATGTTGTATGCATGTTTGTAGTTAATTATTCCTACTATGAATCTGAAGATTGGGCTATTTGTTAAACAAGTTATTATAATTTTTTTTTTTTTTTTTTTTTTTTTAAACTAATGATTCAAACCAAAAATCTGATGATGCCTACAAAAACCGTTAACTCGTGTCTATTATTTAATAGATTATTATTATTTAGAAGTTTAATAAATGTAATTTTTTCATGGAGGCACAAAAAGGGCATGGGTCATCCCAAGCTTTACATGTTCTAGCCTTATCAATGATTTTCCATTTAACTTTTTGGTGTTCTATTTGTTTTCCTTCAGGTGCCAAAAATATTTTGATAGTGAAGTCTGATTTCTTTTTGTTTATATTATTAAAGGAGCACTTATGCTGCCTCCATCTATCTTTAAAAGTATTCTTCGTGGACCCAGTGTATATCATATTAGTGCTAGGGCTCTCTGTGGATGAAATAGTACATTGGTATACCACAGAATTAATACAACATTTATTTTCTAATGGGCAGTCTTCTAGGTTTCTACATGAGTTACATAATTTTTTTTTTTTTATCGTCTCGTTTAAGTGCAGAGTTTTTTATTAATACTGTTTTGGCATGGGGGTTTGTTCAAGATCTTATTACTGTGTTTTTTTATTATACGTTCAAGATTATCAGAGCAGCTGTAACTCAATTTTAGGGTGTTCTTATTGAATATATTACTAAGCTTACTATTGGTGGGGAAGTGTTTATCAATTAGAGCTAAGAATTTCTGTCCTAGTTTAATACTAACCCTTTGGTTGAACGGAGAGGTGTACCAAATGATATTTCTTTTCCTGTTTTTGTTTCTATGGCCAGTGTAATTTTCTCTATAGTTAATGTTAGCATACAACATAACACCCTTCATAATCCATAGCCCAAATAAGTAGTTTAAATACCTTACATAATAGATAACCCTTTATAAGTCGTCAAAAAACAAACGTTTGAAGTTTTTTTTTTTTTTCTTTTTTTTTTTTATATGCACAATTCTCTTTCATAATAAAATAAAATAAATAAATAAATCTCCATAGACAAACAAACTAGACGAAGGTTAATACATCTTCCGTTTCATTTTAGACACCCCCACCTTTCCCCGACTTGACATCTTGAAAGTATCTCTATATACTTATTATTAACACCCTACACTCGCCTACCCAATTTAAAACAATTCGCCCTTGCTGTTACCATGGAGATTTTGATTTCAATTTTTAAAACAAGTAAATTTCAGATATACGTTATTCCAACAAAAATTTCGCTTGAAGATGGAACGGAGCCCATTTTAATTTAAACTCAATTTAATTTAAAGGATTATATTGAAGTTTTCGGCTCTTGTTTTGAAACATGAGACCTCTTATGTAGCGATTTGGAATCATATTTTTAAATAAATAATTATATTTATGCTCTACTTTTGTATTGAGCACTATTTTTTAAAAATAATAACTAAAATACTAAGGGACTTTGGATTATTTACCTAACCGGTTCCTTCCTATTTTCTATATATTTTCACACATATATATATATATATATATATATATATATAGCTCCACTTTATTATTTCATTATTTTTCTAAAAATCCTTCTCCAAATGCTTTTGTTTCCTTTAATTCTATTTCTTTGTTATCCTCTTTGCAGTAGCACTGAACGGGAACATAAACGAATCACGCACAACAATTCTGAAAAACAACGTAAAGAAAAGATTAAAAGTAAAATTGCAAATATTGGACATTTGTTGCCAGCTGTTCGATGTTATGAAAAGCAAGTGAGTTTAATTTTAAATCTTATCCACAAATAATTTTCACAATTATGTATGTGATGATGCTACATTAAGAGGTTTGATATTTTCTGTTTTCATAGAATCTTCAGCTGATGCCATTTATTTGAATATTTTAATTAGCTTGATTACACTGATGTGATTTATGTATGCATCCAAGACAGTTGAATCATTATTTACTTGGGTTTAGTATTTGCCTTGATGGTGTTTTTTACAACACATCTTGCTTTAAGTTTCTAAGTTATTTAGTTACATACAAATTAAGTAAATATATCCTATAATTTTACCTTTGCTTCATTTAATTTTGTTTTTAACCTAGGCATATAATTTAACAATGTGTAATAATTTGACAAAAAAGGTGTAGGCTTTTATTAATTTCAGTTAAGTTTTTCTCACTAGGAATTAGGAATGTTTCATTATTAATATTACTTAATGATAATAAATATTAATTCTTTTTGATTTTAGAAAGCTAAATAATAGCAAAATTATTTGCTAGTGTAATGAATTCATAAAATGGCTTCTGATTAAAATGAAGAGGGAGAAAATTTCAGCACATATAAGTTAATTTTTTTTTTTTATTTGAATTTAAATATTTAGTTGTTTTGAAATTGATTTTATTGTTTTGGGGGTATTTTTTTAAATAAATAAAAAATGTATTTAATATTTTAATCTCAAACCAAATTCCCAAAATGTTTTGTATTGTGACCTGAAAATTTTCTTTTTATGATTGCCTATATTTGTTTACAGAGATGTTATGAAATCTAATAATTATTTTGTTATTTTGCAAGTTAATGTAATCTTCTTGTTATTCTGTAACCTTCATGATTTTTTTCATTCATTGATTCATCTACTGTTTGATTTTAACATTACTTGCATCAGTTTTTGTTTTTTTATTGCTTCTCATTGATTTACTTGAAAATTGTTCTCCATCCTCATTTAAATGATGACCCATAAGTTTTCTGTTGGATTAATATCTGGTAAGGATGGGTGAAATTCCATTAAGTTGGTGTCTATAGAAGCCATCTTTGGCAAGGCGGCTAATAGTTAACTTTGCATAAGTTGAATGAACATTACATTGTATAAATATTACCTTCTTAGATTAAAGCTTCATGTTTGTGATGTGTACCACTAAAAATTATTATGGTTAATTATTTCCATAAAGGGATAAAACTCTGGTTGATCCATCAGGTCCATCCATTGTAGCTGTACAGTCATCATACAAATTGCCGTTGGAAAATCAGTTTCCATGTACTTGAAAATACACATTTCTCTTTGTGATGTTTACTTAAGAGTGGCAGTTTGGTTGCTTTCATGTCTAGTTAAAAGCTTTAATATTGTGTCTTTTCTCTCTGTTTACTTTTGAAACATCAGCTTATCTAATATTTTCTTGCTGGTCAATCTACTTGTCCTGCTGATCACCATTTTAATTTTTCTCTATTTTTAATTATATTATTATTGAATAAATTACTTAAATGTAAGCTTGTATTGCATTTTATATTCCTGTTAACAATCATATCTTCATAAAAATGATTGTAAATTGTCTTGCTTTCTAATATTGTTCACTTAAATTTCATTAGGTTTATCTCAGCATCATTGTGTATGTGTGTTACGAGGATGCATTTCTATAATAAGGGATTCCACTGAATTCTACTTGTTGTTACAAAAAAGTTCATATTCATGAAGTAGTTGTAAAATAGAGAAATTAGAAATAAAATGTTTGGAAGATTCTAGATCATTCTAGTATATTCGAGAAAAATCTGTGGATTTCCAAATATAGCACTTAGATTACTTCACTAGCCCTAAAGTGATAAAGATATTTGACTCCCTTTCCTTCTCCCTCGTGACACTTCACCAGTAACTCTGTGTTTTCTGTTTTGTAGGCCACAATTGTTTATCCTGTATATATTTTATGTTCTGTTTTAGTAAATTAAATATTTGTTTGTGATTTAGCTCTGTGTTGTGGTAAATTTTTTTTTTTTCCTTTGTTACAATTATCAACACGTAACAGTATGTATGAAAACATTTCAAATTTAAGTTTATTCTTTATAATATAAAACTATAAAAATAGATCTGTTTAAATTTCAGAGCACTTTGTCTATATTGGAACGGGCTGCAGATTATATATCTGAAATTCAAGATAAAAATGATCAATTAATGTACCATAATGGTGATGAAGTGCAAGGTAACTCATTGATTTTAATTTTGAACATGAACAAGAGTTTCACACAATTTAAATGACTTTATTTTTCTTTTTAGTCATGTAAACTTAAACTGAAAAATATTTTAAAATTAAAACTATTGATTATAAAAAGTAAAAAAGACTTTTGTTCTGTGTCTTTTTCACCTTTAACATGTAAAGTTTGCTCTGAAAGTAATGCCTCCTGTTTTATTATGTTGGCTCATGACATCAGTAGCAGATGTTGGTTGTTGTGGTTGAGTCTTCCCACCCCTGCCTCCTTTTTTTTTTTTTTTTTTTTTTTTGTCCTAAATAGCAGCTGAGTAGCAATCTGGCAAAATGGCTTCTGACATCAAAATGCATACAAAGCAGAAGTTTTTTTTATCAATGAATTCCTCCATGTAGGAAATATTGCGCCCACTGATATTCATTAACCAAACAGTAGATGCAAGCACACCCGGGCAATGGGTAACACTTTTCAGCAATGGCATATGAGAAGCCCAGTTTCAAGTGGTCCTACACAGCTTTCATCCCATAAAATGAAAAGCTCTTGTTCATTGTTAGTGAAAATTCATAGTCAGTGATAATGACTCCCTGTTGTACTCCCTGTATTCTGTTTTAGTTTCTAGTGAAATAAATAGGAGGCATTACTTTTTCATATAGATTAGCAATTAAAGAATGACTGTATGGTTAAAGTGTTATAGTTTTTATGATCTAATAAGTCAAGCTCAAATCCAATATCTTTTTACTTCCTGGTTTTATTTTTACATTTCCTGGATTTTCATTTCTGTTTATTTTTCAAGTTAACTCTGATTGAACAGTAATAAACTAAATTTTTTAATAATAGTATTTTTAATGAAATACACATTTTTAATTCTTTCTTTTTTAGAGCTAGACACAAATTTACAGCTATATTCATTTTAATTGGAAATTTTTTCATTTAATCATCTTCAGCAGAAGAAATCCAATCTTTGCGACAAAAATTGGATGATCTCAAATCTGAGAGAGATCGCTTTGCAGACTTATTAAAAACAGCAGGTAAGTTTCAGTTTAATTTTTGCAAAAGTATTTTCTCGACTATGTAATTTTTTTTGTTTTTAAATTTTAAAACTGTTTTGTGACTTAAGTGAAAGTGTGTGCAAAATAAAACATTAAGTATTATTATTAAGTTTTTCAACTAACTGCAATTCTAAAAACTAAAAATACTTATTAATATTTTGTAGGTATATCTACATTGCTTAATGCAACCAATTCATGGAAAGGGAAGAAAGCTAATTGTACTTCAAGCACTTCAGATTGTCGACCAGAATCTGCAGATACTACATCTAATATCCCTAATCTTTCAGCTAATAATTCAAAGAAAGACAACGATCAAGAAGGATCTACAAAAAGCACAAAATCCAAAAGACGCAACACAATATGTGCTCAACTTGAACGAATTCAGAATAAAAACACGACAGACAAAGCAACAACAGCTTTAAAAATGAACACTGGGAACATTATCATTCCAGGTCTTAACAACCTGAATGGGATGCAGACAACCAATGTTTTACCAACCAACATCAACCAACAGCAGTTGTTTGCAGCTGCACCTAATTTATTGGCTAGCACACTTTCAAATGCTATTCTTGCTTCAAATGGTCATGGACATGTCATTTTCAGCAATGCAAATTCTGCTGGTGGTGTGGTCAGTATACAGGCTCCAACCAATCAACCTGGGGTTACTTTTGTGTCCCCATCACCCAATCTTCTTGCAGGCACTGACAAAGGAAATGGGGATGGAGCTGGACTGTTGCAAATAGCAATGAGGGATGCTGGTATAACAACAGTGACACAATCTTTTCTTACACAGCCATCAGCTCAAGTTCCACAGATAACAAATCAGTCAACACCAGCAATGATAGGTTCAATCACAAGCACAAATACAGAGGCTGTCACTTCAGCTGATTCCTCCCAGGTTCCACACTCAACTCCACTGCAAACACTTGCATCAATTGCTTCCAACACACAAAGCATCAACACTGGCCTTATTGGTTCCTCTTTTCTTGGTGGTACCAGCTGTTTTCAACAAGGGTCAACAACAATGACTAACACTACTCAAGCCATCAATAGTCAAGTTCCTATTATGTCTGTTGGCCAAACAAATTATGGACAAATTTTGCAAAATGGCAATACTCTAATAAATGTACCTATTATAAATACCAATGGTCAAGCCTTGCCCATTGGTGGAGCACTTTCAGGACTAACAGGAATTCAAGGACTTCAAACACAGCAAGGACAAATTGTTCTAGTTAATGATCACAGTGGTGTTTCTTTGATGCCAAACTTACAAATGGTTGTTGATCCAGCAGCTTTGGCACTGTCAAATAGCACACGTCAATTTACAACACCTGATAAACTTGCTGTGACAAATAAAATTGACCAGTCAAAGATGGCATTCACTGGTATGATGGCTAATCCATGTGACATGATTAACCATACAACGACAATACCTGTACAAAATCAGCAGCAGCAACAACAAAGCATATTTCAAAATGCCATAAATGCTCAAGCATTAGCTTCTAACCCAGCAGCAGCAGCAGCTGCCATGCAGCAAATTACTTATCAGCCACCACAACATACATTGTCACTTGGAGCTACTAACACAATTTTGCAGCAACCTCAGCAATTAGGTGCTGCAGCTGCAGCGACTACTACTACCACACATCAGCAGCAGCCTATATTACCAACCCCATTTGCAGGACAAAGTGCTAACTTTTTGAATCCAAATCCGGGTCTTGTGCTGCCTGTTAGCCAAAACGGAAACCTGTTAACTCTAAATACAGTTCCAAGCCAACCAAACCAATTGCCTACAGCTCTGATCCTACCAAATGGTCACATCATTCCGGTGGTAACCCAACCTCAAGTGTTACTGCAGCAACAATTGCAACAGCAACAATTACAACAGCAACACTTACAGCAACAGTTATTAAATGCTAATTGCCAATTGCAAACTGCTGCCCATCCACAAACTATGCACCCTTCTCAGTTACAGACCAAAGTAGCTGTCATTGGAGGTCTTTCCAATGGGACTCTTCCTGTCATAGACACAAACCTCACAACAGTACTCAATCCCCAAAACCTACAATGTCAGAGTCAAAATGCCATGCTTCTATCACAGCAAAGGGCACCAGTTGGCCTTTTGATGACCACAACAATATCGAGTTTCCCAATGTCGAATGCTGCTACGACAGTTGCCTCAATGAATAACAACATGGTGACCACATCAGCCACTCAGAGTGTAATGACAACTCAAGTGCAATCATCCCAGACACATCGCCCAACCAGTGCTCCAGCATTCATCAAAAGATCAGACACACAGACATCAGATTCCAAAGGAGTTGTCATGTCTACAACAAGTGTCCAGTCTCAAGTGCAATTGAAGATACCTAGTACATCTGCACCTGAAAGTAGCGTATTGCTTGGAAATATATCCCAAGCCAATTCACTAGCAACAGTTGGAACTGTGCCTTCACAAAATGACACTTCTGCTGTTATATCTTCCACTTTGCAACCAAATATTAATGCTTCTCTTCCCTTAAACCAGCAAACACAAGGTGCTGGCTCAAATGGAACTATTCTAATAACATTTGGTCCTCCAGGCCAGCAAGCTTGTTGTATACTAAACTCCAATACTATGCAAGGAATTGGGAATATTGCTAACTCTCAATCCGTATTAACTACCACTGCATCAGCTTCTATTTCAACAACTACTCAAAGTTCATCTAAAAAATGTAACAAAAAGAACTCTCAGAGAACAATTATGCCAAAACCTCCAAAATCCAATAATTCTAATACATTAAGCTCTGTTTCTTCTATAAATAGTTCTAATTCAGTTAGTTCAACTCAAGTTGTTTCATCTGGTCTTTGGAACTCTGTTTCCCTAAACACCGATCAGGAGGCTTCTAGTACTAGTATACAATCAGTTGTTAGTGCCAATGAAGTCTGTGTAACTACATCAGCAGAATCAACCATCACACAATCTCCATCAACTTCCCACACATCTGATAATACAGGCACTACTGACATATTAGCTAAAGCAGCAGAATCTATTTTTTCTTCTTCATTGCATGATATATCTCCTCCAATAAGCAGTTTTTACAACCCTGCTAATGAAGATAATCCATTACATATAGACACCAGTGCTGGAGAAACAGAAGATGATTGTAGTGCTCAGTCTCCATCTAAAGAAAGTTGTGATAGTGACAATATTCCCACATCAAGTCGTATCGAAATGGAAGTGGAAAGTCAAAGTTCTCATTCATTAGACAACACATGCAACAGTTTGACAGTAACTTCAAATTCAGCTTCTGCATTTTTTAAAGAAACTGACATGTGTGAAGCAGTAGGAGCTATAAGTAAGCGAGGTCGTTCTAAGCCAGAAAAGGATAAATTGAAAACTACCAGTAAAGAATCAAAAAAGTTGGTCAATACAAAAAAGATTGTAAAAAAACCAATTTCCATGGAAATCTCAGAAGCAATTAATTTTGCTACAACTGAGTTTAGTGAAGTTTTGGATCATGTTGAAGCAGTTGCAATTGAGAAAAGAAAGGTGAAATCTGTTGCTAAAGATACTGCAAAGAAAGCTACATTGAAAGTGCCTGCAAAAAAGCCTGCCCAGTCTGTTGATATTCCTGATGAAATTGTTTTTACAGAAAGTGAAATCAGTGATGTGTTAGATCAGGTTGAGAATTTGCGCAATACATGTTGGGGTAGTGAAACTGACCCCAAAAAAATGAAGAATCGTAAAGTAAAATCTTCTTGTCCTGAACCCGATTCTGAGCAGCCACCAAGCAAAAAGAAAAAACGTGTAGGTAAAGATTATGATTCTTTGCTGGATGGCGAATCAGTGAAAATGAATTCAGCTGATTGCGATAATCCAATTTCAATTGAAGAAAATCCATCTGAGTTGCTCTCTCCTGATTCTACTACTGTGACAAAAAATGTATCTAACTATACACCATCAAGTACTGATGAATCTCCAACTGGCGCTGGTGGAGATAGTATTTGTGAGAAAGGAGTCAGTTATGATCCCTATGATATAACTCTGACTTTAGACGAACCTGAATCTATCAAATCTTTTAGGTCAGTTGATCCTTCAAAGTCATTATGTGAATCTAATTCTCATGTATCAGATTCTTATTCAAATAAAATTGTTGAAAGAGCACAGACAGCAGCAGAAGAAATCACTTGTACTACATCAATACAAGTAACCAACAGCAGAGCAAGCAGTCAAATGTTAGTGACTTCACCAGCAAGTACTGCTAACAATAATGTTGATAATGATAATACAGGTGAGAATAATCAAATAAAAATGACTGGTATTGTGGAACCAAAGCAGCTGCATTTGCACTGTGATTCCCAGCCCACATCAAATGCTGCTGATGATATGCTCTCAAAGAACACTTGTTCAAATCAGCAGATGTCCACCACATCACAGACTTCATCTGTTAATAACTTGTCCTCCTCTCAGCCCCAACATCCTCCTTGTAATCTTCAGTCACAACAAATATCAACTCCCAGTGCATCTCTCCCTTCTTCAGTAAATAGTATATCAACATCAGTAGATCCTACTGAAGGCAATTGTATTAATTCTTCTGCACAAATGGCACCACCATGTACAACAGAACACAACAGCTACTCCTCTCCCAATTCTCTAAGATATTCAGCTGAATCACTATTTAATCCATCTAACAAACTGACAACACAGTCAAAATCACAGCTTCAATCTCAGGCACAAATCATCATTCCTCATCATACAAGTAATATCACAAATAGTATAGGAGGAGAAGCTTTATCTACAACTGCAACATTATCTACAGCTGCTCCAGTCTCATCCTCAAAAAGCCGAAACTCTGGCATTTATTCAGCTGAAAATTTTGTTCAGTCAGGAAGAAATGACACCTCTCGTTCTGATAACAAACACAGTTATTCATCAGCTGTTTTCTCTTCAACAAATAATACTGTTCACCATTTAAGCACTAGTGAGAGTGATTCTTTGAGTTTTAGCAATCTTGGTTTGAGCTTAACCCCAACATCATCATCATCCTTGTCATCAAATACATATTCTGAAAGCTCATCCTGCAACACATCTACATCTTTTACTTTTTCTTTGACTAATTCAAATAATAATAGCATATTTCCATCTCATCAATTTCCTTTTCTTCATTTACATTCATTGGTTACTTCACAGCATTTACATAATGACAATACTGATTCTGTTAATAGCAATCAACAATCTCAAACATTTGGGCTGCCTTCCTTTGGTTTAAATAACCAAAGGAATAACAGTGAAGCAGAAACAAGTGTTCCTCAAAATACTCCTAGTGGACAAATCATTGTTTCTGGTTCATCAACCACAGCAAATCATCTTCAACCACACAATGCATTTAACTTTGGTTTGGGAAGTTCTATTGAAAGTTGTTCATCATCATCATCATCATCATCATCAAGAAACCAAAATTTTCAAGATGGCTCTTCACTATCTTTAAATAGTTCAGGAATTGATAAGTCTTCATCTAATAGTAATGTTTTATCTCCAACTGAAAATAATCGAGATAACTCTAACCCAAAACACTTGCCAAATGTTGCTCAAAGCATTTCTTTAAGTAACCGCCCCCAACAGCCTAGTTTAAATACTGTTGACTGCTCCGCTCAAATTACCAGTAGCGTATCCACATATTTCACACCTATGAATTATCAGTCATTACATACGCCTCCATTACATCATCCACCGGTCACATCAAGTGAAAATGCTCGCGCCAACATTAGTAGATCTTTCAATGCAAACCTCTCTACACCAATGACAAACTTTGGATCAAGCACACCTGTATTTAATGGAAGATTTGATAGTAATCAGTTATTTTCTACTCAGAGGGATGGAGCCTCACAAAATATGAACCTGAATTCTGATGCCACAAAATCAGCACCCCATCAAATTAGTAAAGTGAGTAAGCAGCAACAGTCAACAACACAGCATTCTTTATCTCAGCCACAAACACAGCCAACTATTGGCTCCCTCTCATCCCATCAACCAATTCATTCCTCTTCTGCTTCCTCCTCATCATCATCTATATCAACATCACCACAGGTTCCCAATCTTGGTGCATCTCATCAATCCACTTCCCAACAACAGCAGCCACCAATTCAGCAACAACCACCAACACCACAACAACAACAACAGCAGCAGCAGCACCAACAACAACAACGCTCAGCAAAACAAAATTCCCGAGCAAAACAATCTCAAAGCAAGAAAAACAAGCAATCTTTTTCTGATGTGGATTCCAATTTGTCTCAGTCAATATTTGAGCCTAATATGGCTCTTTATTTCTCTATCACCAATTCTTCCCCTCCGCCTCCTCCCCCTCCACCTTCCTCATCTCGAACTATTCAGAGTGATGCACCATCATTTATGTCTGGCAATTTATTTACAAGTTCTGCACGACAAATTTCAAACACATCTTCAACAGTTCTCAAAAACTCTGATATCAGTACTTCATTCAATACAATATTTCCTCCCTCCAGGTCCCAAAATGGGATTGGCTTGAATTTTCAGACTGGTTTTGGAATGAATACTGTCCATAGTGGTCATTCAAATACTCCACAAATTCCTCCTCATTCCAGTTCTATGCCAAACTTACCACATGTGTCCAGCCTTAGTCTGAGCAATATTTTCCCTGATGTAAGTACATCTCAAAGTGAAGCATTAAACATTTCTCCTATTAAGTTTCACACTAATTCCATCCTCCCACCTCCTCAGGCTGGCATGGACCCTAATGCTCTACAGCATCACCATCAAAGTGGTGCACTGTATCATAACCGTGGTCATCCTCCTCCACCAGTCATACATAATATGAGCATCAATAGTATCTTGGGTCACAATCCACATAGTTTTGAGGCAAGGGGACCAGTCGCACAAGCTATTAACAGTACAGTAGCTCCTGGTTTTCATGGACCTAGTCATTCAACATTCCCTATGCCTCCATTGAACTTTTCTATGCATGAACACTAGCACATTAGATTGTGACTAACATGATACAACACTGTAATGACATCAATTTGAGATATTTAAGAACAACATATTTATCAAGAATAAATTTTATATATGGCCTAACTTACCCCTTTTATTGAAGCACAGATTCAACATTTATTTTTTTTACTCTGCATTAATGTTGAGAAATATTTTAATATCTTTTCCATTTGAATCATCAACTTGTTTTTTGTGTTTATTTATTGATTTGATTTTGTGCACATTTTTGTTATTAGAATTATGTTTATTTCTTTCTGAGTGTGTATATGTCCGTCCACTAGAATGAAAGAAAATTCAAGTTTTTGGAATAATTCTTGCTTCATTTGCACATAATTTGCAATGAACACTTTTTTGTATTTGTGCCTATTCCATTTCAGGTGTGTCAATATTATGTCTCATTTTATTTATGTTCTAAAACACTTTGCATGGTTTTATTTTTTTTTACTTATTTTGATAACTGGGAAAACTAAAGAGATAGGTTACATTTTACAGTTGCTAAAATATTTCCTAATTTTTATTTCTTAAACAATTTTTAAAGTCTTTATTTATTATTAAATTTTCCTGATTTTTATATTATTTTTAATTTTTACTTTGTTTAAAGTTTTATTAAAACCCAACCTCAAGCACCTAATCTAATGGTCTCATGAAAAAAATAGTGTGTGATAAAATTATTTGCTTCCAGGGCATGGAATTATTTAATGACGTCTAATATATATAATGTTTGCATTTTGTTTTTTTCAAGATTATACAATGAATTCTGTTTTTTAATCAGCTTTTTTTTTATACAAGGGTATATCGGCATGGCTACACTGTGTGTAGGTATTTTCCAAACATTTTTAACCTAGTTGTGTTTGGTCACATTCTTAGCCTTTATCACGATATGACTAAATTGATAGTGCTTTTTTGAAATCAGCATTATGACATGTGATGACACTGCACAAGAATAACAAACTTCTTCCCTAGATAGAATATATATATATATATATATATATATATATATATATATGTGTGTGTGTGTGTGTTAAATACATTCAGAAACCTATTGCCCAAACTAACTTTTTTATTTTATAAGTGCAGCATAAATTTAAAACTTTCTTTTTGCAGTTGATATTATATAGTGTATTAGTAATTAGTATTTGATATATGCTAGTAGAAATCCCAGTGCTTATCATTTTATTCATTAAAATGAGTATAAATGGCAAGTTAACTGGAGTAGGTAGTTGCATGGCCAACTTACAAATTAAATGTTTGAGCATTATGAGGGACATAATCTTCCAGAGAATAAGAAAATTCTTAGATGACATTAGCAATACTTTTCACATTAATAATTATGAGTCATAATAGATGTTTTAAATTATATATAAGCTGTAGCCTCTGTCTATCAGTCTGTTTGTTATTGAACTTCTCATAGGGTTTTGAAGATAGACCCCTATGACCATATATTTTCTGAAACTACATTACCCAGGGTACTTGGATAAGTATCTTTCATTTTGACCAAAAGGGGTCCCCAGTAGACACAAACCCTCACTGAAATTTTTTTTTCCCTTTGATTTAATTTAAATTTGAACAAGGGAATGGCTCCTATCCAAAATAGGAGAAAGCCAGAAGATGGAGGTCATATTGGAAAGATCATTGAGTAATATTGAATTACATCATTTTTCTCTACAGATTATAACAATGATTTAAAATCAATCATTTTCTTAAAAAAAGTGTAACAAGCAGCAAGGCATGGATAATTCGGGTAGTATGTATGTATATATGTGTATGTATATATATATATATAATGTGTGGGCCTATGGATAATGCTCTTAATAGTTGTTTTATCTTTGTAATTCTGCAGTATTTGATTACAGTAAAAAATTTAGGTTTCTAGATAATGGCCAATATGACTGAAAACCTGAAATCCAAAAATATTTGGAAAACACTAACACACTGAAGCCAGACCTATGTTCTCTTTTATGTAAATAAGAATTTTTAGAGAATTCTTTGTTTATGATCTTTATATAATATATATATTAACAAAGGATCTCTACCAAAATATACACATCTACACATTTTTTTTAATAAGTGTCGTATAAATCTTACATGTTTTTTGCATGATTATATAAGTTAGTGAAATGATATTTTCCTTTATGTTCATAAAAGAATTGCATAATTTACAATCGGTATGAATTGAATTTGACTACTAGGTAATACTTATTGAATTTGTTCCTTAGAAAATTGGCTAATGCGCAATATAAAATTTATTTAGTTTATTTAAAGATAGTTATTAAGTAATTTATTTGGATATTGTACCTATTTTTAAATGACTACAGTTTGTTCTTGGTATCATAGATATAATTTAATGTGTATATCTGAAGTTTTCAAAGTAACCCTTGTTATAAATGTTACTAGTTTTGTAAAGAAAAAATATATTGTGAAAATAGCATATAAATTGGGTTTCAGTAAAAATAAAGCTCTATGAGAAACAAAGCAAAAATAAACCCCCACAAAAACTTTTTTTATTTTAATAATAGACCTTTATTTAGTTTGGCTTAGTTTGATATCAGACAAATTGATAAAAGTTCAAAGGATGATTTTAATGTAACAGTATTATTACCGGGGGAAAGGTTCACAAGCCCACCTTGAAAATCAACATCTAAACTCTGAACTTCCTTCTTGTACTTGAACAACAACCAGTGGTACCAGTTGAAAATATGCAACTATCATTGCTCCAACACGGTTTTAATTTTTGTTTTTTAATTTAAGCCATTTAATTTTAATTTTTTATTTTATTGAGTTTCTTTTCTAAATTTACATTGTGTGCATGTTTAAGATTTTAATTCTGAAATGCAAACTAGTTAACAATGACAAGGTACTTATAAATAGACACAGGTCATCACTGAGAAATGACAATCTGTTTCATGGCCTGAAGATTGCATCGAGGCATGAAACAGACTGTCATCACCCAGTGTTGACCTTGTGTCCACTTCTGTGTTTACATATGCT